TGGGAKCTTATATTTAAGTTTCATCATGTGTTCAATTTCTTGATTAATACCAAAGTGATGATAAATTCCACCCTTGATTTCTTTTACTATTGTAGTAGTTGGAGTTTTCAATAAAGTTCTGGCATCTTTAGGCAAATGTTTTAATTGAGGACAATTAGATAAAGTTATTAACAGATCATTTAAAGCTGAGTGAGTAATGCTGTGGCGGATAGCCCAACTTGCAATTGAGACCTCAAGGCTTTCGTTTGATTGCAATGGTGGGTCTTCATAGGAATCCACACTAGAAGTACTTGATTCAGAGGGTTCCATAGATGAATTTGTATTGTAACTATTATKTAATTCATGATTTTCATTTTTTAATGAAGTAGTTTCCAAATTTATTGCTTCACTGTGTACTGGTACAATTCTTTTTACATATAAAGGCAATGCATTATCTTCTTCATCATTTTCACTACTAGATGAAAATAGTGCTGCAATAGAAAGGGCCGCTTGTTTTCTACGACGATATCTAGTAGTTTTAGACCTATTTGTTTTTACATATTACTATCAGTTCATAAGATCATRTTATTTCTGTTATTTCAATAAAATTGTACAATTTTAGGTAACAATCTGAACACATATGAGTATTTATAGGCTTTTAATGATAACTTAGTCGTTCAGACTTAGATTTATTTGATTTTATATGCTATACAATAATATTATGTAAAGTAATATTTAATTTAATTTAAAAATTACAACTAATAGTTTGTTATAAACAATTCTTTTTAATTGATTATATTTATAAGTTTGAAATATTGTTATTATTTAAAAATTTTAAATAACACTTATTATTACATAATTATGAAAATTAAAAAAAAAACTATAACTATAAGACTATAATAGTACTAGTATAAAATACCTACTATACATATTATAGGTACATAATAATATTATATTCAAATATATAAATAAATACATGTATGTATTTAACTTCTATTATAGTWACATACATGATACACCTACTTACATATGTAACTGAATTACTATTTTATTAATTTAAGTCATCAGTAGTCATTGGTATTATTCTACAATTTAATATTTATAAAAGTGTAAATTATGTTAAAATGTGTATAATTTATTGTATATTATCTAATAACATTTCTAACAAAATAAGTAAATGAAAAAGAAACTTAGCATCTATAATTTTACTATGGCATATATAAGTTTATTAATTCAACAATGAGGTGTTATACTTTACTAGGAGAAACTGATTTTATATTTGAAAATCAGAAAATTAATATTTCACTTAATATGCATGTTTAAGTTTAATATTAAYTATGCCAATGATAATATATTATATAAATTCTAATGTTAAGCCATCCTTAATAGTTCATTCACTTATACTGTTATACACCATGGTGCTAAATTCATAATAAAATAATAAAAATCATAATATATTCAATATTATAGGTAGGTATAGGTACCTAATTTATTATATTTAACACATATTTATATATTCTGTGGTAGGTATAAGAAGCAATGTAATGTATGTATGTTTTATAACGTAGGTATTTATGCTATTTATCCGAGTAACAATTCAAGTACCCACACAGTTCAAATCACATTGAGATCGGGGTGCTGCACTCAGTTCAATATTGGTTCCTAGCACCGAACGTTGATCATTTTGAATACCAAATTTTAACCCGGCGTGAACCGAGTGCTGCAATGGTTTAATGGTACAAATTTTGACCGGTTTGAAAGTTCAATGGTTGAACGTTCTGTAACCGTGTATCAGTTTAAGTTAGGACAGTGCTCATTTAGTTCAAAGTTCATTATTAGACCGTTATTAGAACTTAAATATAACATTATTTATTGTAATTTATTTCAAAAATAATCAGTTATTAAAATAAAATATTTATTATTTTTAACTAAAATACCTATGTAATTTATTATGTTATAAAACGTGAATAATATAGTTTGTTCACTAGGAAAAGAATGCRCCTCGTATATATTACAAAATGTTAAAATAAATAAAGTTTTGTTTTTTACAATGTCTGTATTGTTATCTGTAATTTAAGTACTATAACCAGTATAACGTATCTWACTATTTAATTTAAAGCAAATATTTTGGTTTATATTATCTACGCTATTATTACGATTAGATAAATATTATTCAATTAATTACTAATATTAATAATTAATTATTAAAACATAAAATTATATTCTGAGTAAATATCCAACGCTCTGTCGCTTTGGTTGTAAAAGGATAAGTAGGTAACTGTAGAGATCACCAAGTGAATATTCAAATTGTATTTTACATTTATTTGCTTACATATATATTACAATCATAATAAATAAAAGTGTAATATTAATAAATTACCAACTATAATTACTAATATTATTGTATATTATACATTTTAAAATACTTACATGATTATACCGCGCGTGTACACGTGTTGACAAAATTAAAACGAACGGCAGAAACGGTGAACGTGAACACTGAATGTTGAATGGCTACGGCAGTTCGGCAKTACGACGGTCGGGCGGTCGGCGTTATATGTTTTATTGTACAATAACAAGCCGTGYTTATACTAGATTTTCGGTCGGAGTGTATCGTCACGTATCGGTGCAAACGTGCAGTGTAGGTACTAATGTTGTGAACCCCTGCACGCACCGCACGGTTATAAATTCCCGTCACAAATGGAATGAGATTTATGATCTATGAAGTCATACCACTACCTATGCAGTTGACCCAGGAACAAGTGATTATAATCGAAGCGATTCCGATAACGGAGATGCAATCAAACCTTATACTCACAATCAACCTTCTATCGATAAAGGTAGAAAATTTGGTAGACATTATTAATTATGCAACGCTCGGACATATCCATTATCCACAGTAGTATAATGAGTCCGAAAACCATCACACAACAAATGAGTGATATTAAAAGCAAATTACCGCCAAATTCCGAATTTCCGTTAGAATTAACTACCAATAGTATATCAGATTTTTTCAAAATAGCTACGGTTACAGTGATAAGTGTGGATGACACATTAATTTTTTCTATCGAAATTCCCGTCACAAATGGAATGAGATTTATGATCTATGAAGTCATACCACTACCTATGCAGTTGACCCAGGAACAAGTGATTATAATCGAAGCGGAATCAACGTACTTAGCAGTGGACAAAACGCWAAAGAATTTTATTTCATTCGGGGAACATCAGCTGACAAGATGTATAGTTMTGRAAAACGCTTTTGTTTGTCCAAACGAACACCCCATCGATGTCAATGACCAATTGCAAAATTGTGAACAAAATCTTTTTAATAGTCCACCTAGTATACCCAGTAATTGCAATAAAAAAATTCNTATTAATATTCCATATGGATTCGTATCCAATTTTTGTTCTAAAGATTACGTACTTTAATAGTTATTTGTTTACATGTCAATTGTAATTGGAACATGTAGTTATTTATTTAAAATTAAAATTATAAATGTCTCCAARCACTCRCAATAAAACACATTAAAATTATTACGAAGATATAATCACTATAATATTGATAAGAAAAACCCGTTCAATATTATAAGCACGCCAGCTCTGTTGCAGGACCTTAAAATAAAAATATAAAGTTCACAATTTATATAACATTGAACCGTTGAACATTGACTCTTTGAATCGGTGAACAGTTGTATGCAATTTAATATTTTAATAGTTTAAAACAGACTATTTAGAAATATTGACGCACTTTAACACTTTCAATWACAATTTGTAATATAACAATTAATTTGTTTTAGGTTATGTGCTAACGATTAAAGTAAAATGTAAATATATGATGACCACATGGCATAAACAATGATCAACACAAAAATCATGCATATATATTTATACTATACGATCGGTATTATAGCTTGCGCAAGCGCATTTAAGCGATGAACATAAAAATATCATTCAGAGTCGGAAACACCGACTCTGAACAGTGTCTATAAAGTTTTAAATAACCGTGTTTACACCGTGCTCAAGAACATTCTATGAACTAATCCACGATGTTTAAAGTGTTAAAACACGCTCACTGAACTGTYATTAATTTCCATAGGTGCATTTGCACATTTACTGCACTGTTCAATGTCGGTAACACCGACGCTGAACCGTGTATACTATTTTTAGAATAACCGTGTTCGAAAACATTCTGTGAACTATTCCACGATGTTAAAAGTGTTAAAACACGCTCACTGAACTGTTTAATTTCCATCGGTGCATTTGCACATTTACTGCGCCGTTCAATGTCTGCATACACTGACCATGAACCATAATTTAATTTTAAGCTTAAAAACTAAACCAAAACACGGTTCATACACCGTGTTTAAACCGTTGAAAATTGACAGTTAAAAGAAACCGACTCTAAACGCTGAAAATGCTACTCGGGATGTTTTCAAAATATACAGTCCGCTATAGAAGTCAAAACCACCAATGAAGCAGCTACCGCGGCAGAAGAAAACTATCGATTTGAATTCGAAGATTTGTATTTCCAAGCTATTGCAAACAGCGAAAAAATGTTAAATAAAGCCGGTCATAACGTGATCCAAAACTTAAGCAACAGTGAACYACCGGGAAGTACAGCCAGCAGTCATCAAGCGTCAATTGTCAAGTTAGCAGCACTAAACGTACCAGAGTTTAGTGGAAATTATAAAGAGTGGTCAACGTTTAACGATATGTTCACTGTACTTATTCACTCAAATGATGCGTTAACCGAAGTTCAAAAGTTTTTCTACCTTAAGGCTGCACTGTCTGGAGACGCAGCCGAAGTTGTAAAATGCTTCGAGACATCCGCAATAAATTATAAAATTGCATGGGATTGTTTAAACGAGCGGTTTAACAACAAACGAATTATGGTACAAGCACACACAAAAGCGATTTTTGACTTAGAACACATAACAGAGGAATCGTCAGAAAAGTTGAGGCAGTTCGTCGACAAGCTGTTCAGTCACATAAAAGCGCTATAAGCGATCGGCTACAATCCGATGTCATGGGGTCCGATGCTATTACATATCATCTCGATAAATCTTGACAATGCCACGTTACGAGCATGGGAAACCCAAGCTCCTAAAACCGAGGTACCAAAGGTCGAAGAATTGATAGCATTTTTAAAAAACCGTTTCCRAATCTTAGAATCGATTGAAAACGCGCAAGGCTTGCACAGATTTGGAAATGGGCTGTCACAAATGCCGATAAGAGACAATAAAATAAAGGTAAACATTAAGAACAAAAACAAGTCATTATTTGCACACACCACGGTAGTAAAATTCAAATGTTATGTTTGCGAAGAACCTCACGCGATTTATAAATGTAAACAATTTTTAGATCTCGCGGTGAAGGAGCGACGAGAAAATGTTATTAAATTAAAATTGTGTACTAATTGTCTAATTGTTTATCAAAACATAAAGATAGTAAGTGCAAGTCTAAAGGGTGTCGAAAATGTGGAGAACACCACAACACGCTGCTGTACGAAAATATTGCCGAACAAAATGCAGAAACTGTGCCATCTACGTCAATAAGTGCGCATGCAGCTAGTACATCGGGCGCTAAGGTTTTGTTATCTACGGCAATAATACAGATTYTTAGTAGTTCAAACGAACCATTTTTAGCCCGTGCGTTACTAGATTCCGCGTCACAAGGTAATTTCATCACTAACAATTTAGCGAATAAATTGAGGCTCGCAAAACACAAATTTGATTGCGCTATTTCCGGAGTGAACTCTGCCGAATGTCGAGTATCACATGTAGTCACGGCCGAAGTACGTGCGCGGTCCGACGCGTATACAAGATCAATCGAATTCATGACATTACCAAAGATAACGTCTAAATTGCCGACCGGTCCGTTACATATAAACAACACATACACAATACCGGAGTATATTGAGTTCGCCGATCCGACGTACGCGAAACCCGGAGAGATGGATTTGCTTTTAGGGGCCGAAGTATTTTTTGATGCGCTTCGTTCTGGTCAATATAGACCGATGGTAAATGGTCTTGTATATCAAGAAACCGTCTTTGGGTGGGTTGTTGCGGGGTCTGTACAACAGGACTCGCGCGATGTAGAGCATACATTTGTCGCACAGACGATTATACCGAGCGATTGCTGTCAACAGCTAGAAAAACAAATTTCCAACTTTTGGCGTCTGGAAGAGTTAGGAAGCGTAGAATCCCACAGCCTTGAAGAAAAACAATGTATTGAACATTTTGAAAAAACAGTKACTAAAGGGTTAGACGGAAGGTTCATTGTACAATTGCCCTTCAAAGAAAATCCGATTAAAATAGGTAGTTCAAAATCGATTGCATTAAAACGTTTTGTGTCAATGAAAACAGATTACGCATTAACCCGAAATTAAAGGAGGCATATGTACAGTTCATAAACGAATATATAGAACTAGGTCATATGGAACAAGTAATCGACAACAATGAAAACGATAAACCAGTTTATTATTTAYCACACCACGCCGTGTCACGCGATAACAGTTTAACGACAAGGCTGCGGGTAGTGTTCGACGCGTCGTGTGCTACAGATACGGGGAAGAGTCTTAATGACATTCTATTAAAAGGACCGTCAATTCAAGATGATCCATGTCATATGCTAAAGTTGGTCAGAAATACTTTTGGTTAGGTTAGGTTAGGTTAGGTTTAATAATAGGTTTAAATAAACGTCTCATTCGGTCGTACCACAGATATCTGTGGGTCGTGCATTGTATGCGGGGGGAAGGGTGGTCGATCATGATGATGATGAAGCGAGGAGTGGTAACGTTGCATACCCGGTCGTATATCGGTCCCGTCTATGAAAGTATGAAAACATTGAAAACGTCGCGATTATGCGCCGGTCGGCTATTTGCTATATAACACTAATTCTGTGACTATATTATATAATATATAATATATCATACAATTATTAGGTATTAAAAAGAATGTATTTATTTTTTATTATACAATTTTATTTATAAAATTCATAATAATACATACTATATGTTTTTGGTTATAAGTACCTATATATAGATTCTTTACACTGAAAAAAAAATATATGAAATAATGAATAATGTACCTATATAGCCATTTATATTAATGCATATATTATAATTATATAAATATAATATCTATACCTATATTATTTAGCCTACAAGTAGTATAAGTATATACTATGCATAGTGCATACATGTATGTATTTATTATAGGTATATACTATATGTCTATATGTACAAATGTTACGGATTAGGTTTAATGATAACAGAATATTGCTAAACTCTTCCATCACAGCTGCAGAACCAGTGACTTTTGGCCTTYGGGTTAAAAAATACATCTTATGCAGTACTCTCGACGACAAGCTTGGTTGTTTTTGTATTTATAAATAATATATTATATAATAATATAATAATGACCATGCTTACAGAGAAATATAGAATTTTAGAATTAATACTACTAAATTATATAAATTATTCTATACCTACTTAATAATAATACCTATACATTAGGTCTAATATATAATAAAGAGA